CCTCTGATGGAGCTAGCATGGCTGGGGGAGGTAGTGTTCCCACACCAACAGAAAAACCCCTTTCTCCAGCAGTGTAGGCTGCACACAAACTATGACAGTGACATAGCTATGGCCGTGTATTGTCAACATATCACTTACAGCTGTTTGCTGGGGGCAGTCTGACCAAAATCACAGCTAAGGGGTTGGCTGGGTCAGAATTCAGATTGAGGGCTGTGCAAGATGCAGGGGTGTTCATTAATAATATATGGAGATATACCTATCTCATAGAACTGGAAGGGACCCCGAAGGGTCATTGAGTCCAGCCCCCTGCCTTCACTAGCAGGACCAAGTACTGATTTTGTCCCAGATCCCTAAGTAGCCCCCTTGAGGATTGAACACACAACCCTAGGTTTAGCAGGCCAATGCTTAAACCATTGAGCTATCCCTTCCTGCCTTTTTTCCTTTTGATTTAGTTTTAAACCAGCACTGCCACATGGTGTTCAGGCACTGCTTGAGTGGAGGTCTTAAAGTTGAGCACCTGGAGTATTTATAATCATTAAAGAGCCACTGACTTGTTAGTGTCAGTATGCTGCTCAGGGACCAGTTATTACATGCAGTTTACCTCCAGCAGTTTCAAGGGGATGGATATGTTACACTTTCTTAAACTGCTACCAAGAATTCACTTCAGAGGTAGCTGCATTTCACTTGTGATATAATGGAGGATATCTGTGTGTAATTTTTTTTTTTTTTTTTTTGTATCAGGAGACATTATGCATCAAATGCAGCACAACTACACTAATCAATCATTTGCTACAGGGGTGAATCTGGGAATATTAGGAAATAGCCTTTCAACAAATACTAGTTGGTACCTTAAATAGCCTTCCCTGTGTCTGATCCTTCACCATTCCACTTTGAAATCTAGGCCATTTATTGATTTCACAAAGATCTCAAGAGCGCTTCAGTCACTGTAACATTCTCCTCACCACCTCTGAAGAATCCAGGTACAAAAGGTTTTGATCTAACAGCTGCAGATTTAATTCGAACAAAATTAATTAAATCTTTTAAAACTGTTAACATTGGTACAAAATAAATGCAGTATCCACCAAGCAGCCTCTGCATCCAATACAAGCTTCACAAAACACGGTATATCCCCTTTATCAGATGAGATGGAGGGAAGAGCTCACTGCCAAACCAACACACCTTCCAGCACACAACAGGATTAGAGCACACACATGACCTACTTTGTCCATGGCCCCTTCCAACATCTTAGGGCCCAAGAAATCCTGTGGCTGGCCCTACCATTACCCACTGTATATCCTGATAAATATGCAGTGACTAGACTTTTCATCTGGGGGTCCACACAAATGTTGTGGATATAGCCGCCCCCACAGAAATCAACAGCTTATTTTGATAGACATGTCCCTTCGGTACTTTCTACGGTGGATGTGGTGTTATAAGGTAGTAGCAAGAGATGCCAATACAAGATTTTTTACCCATGTCTAAACAACCTTTTGTGCAAGTGAAAAGTCCTCAAAAATATATTTAAGTTGTCAAGACAAGCTGGAAAGAAAAAATGAATAAAAGGGGATTTAAACAATTTACATTAAAGAAAAAATTAAAAAGACAAGGTGGGTCAGGTAATATCTTTTATTGGACCAACTTCTGCTGATGAGAGAGACAAGCTTTTGAGCTACACAGAGCTCTTCTTCAGGTCTGGAAAAGGTACTCAGTGTGTCCACTAAATACAAGGTCAAACAGAAAACTTGTCTCTCCCACCAACATAACTTGATCCAATGAAAGATATGATGTCACCCACTTTCTCTCTCTAACATCCTGGGACTGACATGCCTACAACAACACTGCATACAAAAAATTAAACTTAGTCATCCAAATGGGTTGACACATTAATAAGGCTCATTACTTAGAGAACATTGGCCGTGTGTTGATCAATGCAGAGATTAGTCATTGACAGTTTTAAATAAATGTATTCATTATATTAGAAGCCAAATATACTATTGCACATCATGGTGCTAGCAAAAACACTAATAGCTAGGGCCCTAACAAATTCATGGTTCATTTTAGTCAATTTCACGGTCATAGGATTTTTAAAATAAAAAAATTCATTTCAGTTATTTAAATCTGAAATTTCATGGTATTGTAACTGTAGGGATCCTGACGCAAAAGGAGTTGGGGAGGGAGGGTCACAAGGTTTTTTTGGGGGGGAGGGGTTGCAGTACTGCTACCCTTACTTCTGTGCTGCTGCTGGCGGCAGTGCTGCCTTCAGAGATGGGCAGCTGGAGAGCAGCAGCTACTGGCTGGGAGCCCAGCTCTGAAGGCAGAGCCACTGCAAGCAGCAGCACAGAAGTAAGGATGGCATGGTATGGTATGGTATTGCCACCCTTATGTCTGCGCTGCTGCTGGTGAGGAACTGCCTTCAGAGCTGGGCGCCCAGCCAACAGCTGCCTCTCTCCAGCCACCTAGCTCTGAAGACAGTGCAGAAGTGAGGGTGGCAATACCATGACCCCCGCTAAAATAACCTTGCGGCCCCCCTGCAGCTCCCTTTTGGGTCAGGACTCCCAATTTCAGAAACGCTGGTCTCCCCTGTGAAATCTGTATAGTATAGGGTAAAAAGCACACAACAGACCAGATTTCATTGGGGGAGGGGGCAAATTTCACGGTCCGTGACGCCTTTTTCATGGCCGTGAATTTGGTAGGGCCCCACTACTAGCCAATGGACTCCCTCTCAGTGATGGGCAATATGGGTGTATCTTTTTCAATATATTTGCCATATGGTTCTCGTCTAATTCTGAACGATCTGTAGTCAGTCTCATTTAGATTATACTCATCATAAAATTGTCAGTGTCAAACAGTCTTCACCACCACTACACAAGCAAGTCAAAGTGTACGCCATGCTCTGTCTTGAACAACTACAGTTGCCTCCACACTTGGCTTTTTACATCTACATGTAATGATTTCCAGGAGTGCTTCAGTGGCAGGTGTCTCTGTCATTAGTGTTGGAGAAATCTGTCCATCCTTGTGATGCCAGCTATTTCCATGTGGAGGGAAGGAGGAGAAAGATGTCAGGTCAAGCCTCCATGGCACGGTTCCAGATAAAGGTCTGGTAATCTGAATGGTTGGTATGTTGCACAAGATCATCATAAATTGGGGGGAGGGCCTTGTTCCAGGTCTGTTTGAGACAGAAAAGCTTATATCGCGCACCATTTACATGTGCTGAGTTAACCCTTTTCTATGACACAATGGCTATCAGACGTTCCTGCGCAGTTGAAATCAGCACAGGTATCTCCACCACAGTGCCAAAATTGGCAAGGCTTCTAAATTTGTGTGGATTTTTCCTAATAAACTTCCATGGCTTTAGTTTGCAAGCCATGCCAGATTGCTGGTTGAATTACACCCAGTCAGTGTGTGTACTGCTGGCAACATTCTGCATAGTTGTCCAAGTGCAGCTGCTTTGGCATGGGTTGGTTTATCTTTCACACCAGTACATACCCAAAGCTTGAGTTGTTTCCAACTTGGAAATAAAATTACTCCAGACACTGACACTGCAGTTCTCAGAGACCAAACCACTACATGAGGTTATTCTTATGAAAGCAACATGAAGTAGATGGAGTGTATCTCATTCTTTGTGCAATGAGAATAGATTTTCTTGGTCACTCCCTCTGAAGTGAAAGATATCCCCTGATCCAAGTCCCTTGTGGCATGGCTGAGGACAGGCAAAGAACAAGCTGAACAGCACTAGAGCAAGTACGCAGCCTTGCTTCACTCCATTCGAGATTTCAAATGCGTCAGAAAAGTCACCACTGGCGAGCACTTGCACTGTCATGTGGTCATGGAACAGATGGATGATTTGTATGAACCCTCTTGGGCGGCCCATTTTATGTAGAATAGCCCATAGACCCTCTGTGTTGACTGTATCAAAAGCTTTGGTCAAATCAATGAAAACTGCATTCAGGTCCATGTTGTGCTCTAAATTTTTCCTGGACCTGCCTTACGACAAAGATCATGTCTATAGTATTACTACCTGGTCTGAAACCACATTGCACTTCTGGCAGATTCTCCTCAGATATGTCTACAATGAGTCTGATCAGTAGAATGCAAGCTAGTATTTTCCCTGTTGTACAGAGAGCAGTGCCTCTGTAGTCAGCTTTGCTGCCTTTGTTTTTGAACAATGATACAATAATAGCATCTTTGAAATCTGTTGGCATTTCTTCTTCCTCCCAAATGCTAGTCAAGGTATCATGAAACACCTCGATGCCTTGGGGTCTGTTACTTTATACAGTTATGCTGGAATACCATCCTTTCCAGAGGCTTTGCCAGAGTTCTGTTGTTTGTATGGCTTTCATAACTTCCTCAACTGATGGAGGGAGATAGAGATCATCTTTGATGGATTTCTCAGGTAAATGATCATTGTGTAAGCAGATCATAAATTACACATATAGACAAAACAAGCAGCAGAGGCAATATTGAAGATAAATTTGCCATAATGAAATTAATGTATAGTTATACACATGTTAAAAGAGAGGCATTACTTTGACTTTTCAAGAAATGTGTGAAGGCAATTTGACATGATTTACAAAAAAGTATCCATAAGTCTCAGTGTTAACCACTGCATAATAGCACATCTCCCTAAAAATCACTTAATCCCGTCCTAAAAATGTGTTGGGATGCTACAAATTTTAAATTTAGGCAGGGTTTTCCATTTGGGCTCCAACTATTTATTAATTTTCTGTAAGTAATTGTCACCTCAGAGTCAATACCTCTTCCAGTTTTAAAAGGTGAAAAAAAATGTTGCAATAAAACTAAATCTCTCCCAAATTCTTTGTTGTTTTACAAAATAGCTCTCAGTGGTTTTGCAGTTACCCAAAAAATATCAGAATGCATGAGCACTACAGTCGCAAGTACTGTGCAGCCACTTGGTTGCTTTCTCTGAGTAAAGTACAGTAGCCGCAAGTATCAATTACAAACATACACTATAGTAACTGGCTATATCTGTTGTGCTGTGGACAAAACAGGAATGTTTTCAACCCTGTTTCCTATAGTTTCTGTATTAAATCCTGTGCTCACCATGTTAAAGGCTCACATTGACAATCAAGTCCACAAACCTGAATGTTATTAATTGTATGTAGAACGCATTCATTCTAGGTCACCCAGCCACCCACACCTGCAAGAATATGAAATTTTCTGAAACACTAAATATCTTCAGCAGCAGATGGTAACTGTATTTTGTAAACACTAACTGAATATAATATACAGAACAGCATCACTAGAATTTTGATAGGTGGGGTTTCAGTAGCCTCTAAAAGCTGCGAGGAGTCTTGAGTGCAGATTAATGGCAAATTTTTATTATGTTGGTTATGTTTCAAAATAATCTGCCTTTTGAATGGGGGGGGGGGAGGGGAGGAGATTCAGAGCCCGAAAAGGTGCTTCCTCTTCTTATTCCTCCATTCAGTCTTGATTTGAGTTTACTGTCCTCCTGGCCAAACAGTTCCACGCCACTCCTTTCAGAATCCAATGATACTCCTCCCTCTGCAGCTGCAGCAATCCCACAAAGCAGAATCAAGTGCATTGCAACTCTTGTCTCATGTTAGTGTGTTCTGCTACCACTAGGCAGCTGGGCATGATGGCTAGTTAAATAAAACAAATAGCAAGCAACAACAGCAATGCTGAAGAAGGTTTTGATCTTAGGAAACACTTGAAAGTGACATAAAATAAGTCTTGACAAAATATTAAGTATTTCACTTTATACGAAAGTGAGGTCAGTCAGTCAGTTCAATATTCACAACAAAACACAAGGCATAAGATATGAAATATCTTCTACTGAAATAGGCAAAAAGGTCTGCTATTAGCAGCTGAATAAGAGTTCTTGATACCACAGAAACAATAAAAGACACTGCTTTAGAAACCAAGGTTTTTCAGTCAAGGATCTGACGTGAGGCTTGGATAACTGGTTTGCTTTCTAAAATGATTGGTGGCTCTGAAATCAGCAAATCATCTTCACCCAGTGAAGAATTCTGGTCAGTGTTCACGAAGTTGGGGATGTTAAATTTTGTAAGGCAATTCAGCTCCTCCTCCAGCCTTCCACTACTCCTAGCTACTTCCTGGAAGTGAATATTACTGTCCAGACCTGGGGCTTTATGGCTTTGTTTTGCTTTGTCCAAATGCTCCACTTCATTAATGTAAAAGTGAAAGAGTGACCTGGACTCTTCAGCTACTTGACGCGAAAATACCTTGTCTGACTCCAGAGGTTTTCCAAAGTCTGCCACAAAGCTACTCACGTGAAATCTTTTTTCAGAAGGTTCTGTATTGCTGGGGGGAGGAAAAAAAAGCAAAATTATATGTACTAAAATAACCATGGAAATAAAAATAACTATTAGACTTCAAAATGATTACCTCTCAGTATCAAATGTAACTTCAGCAGGCATCAAAATTGGGAATAAATGCAAAAATATTCATTTATCGAGGGCATGCTTAAAAGACGAACTATCTTCTTCATATTTTCTGTTGTAAAATGTTTCTGTTTATTTTTATAGATGATGTAGTGCTGGAATAGATCATTAATGCCAGCATTCCTACACTGCACTTTAATATGTCAGGTGTTAGAAACCCCTGATCCTCCCATTTCATTTGATCTGTTAAATACTCCTTGTTTAGTATTATGAGTAATAACAGTAATAATTAGAGCAGCACTTAACATTTTCAGAGCATTCTACAAAGCATTAACTGACATCTGTGGAATGTATGTATGGGTACTGCCCCCATGTCTCTTTTGTGACTAGTAATCACTTGACTAGCTGGTGGTCTGCGGAAGCTGAAGTCTAGGGGACTAGATCTAGAAAGGGGACGTATACTCAGCACTTCAATGCCTAATATTTAGGAGCCCTTGCTGCCTAGTGGAATCCACAGCCCCAAGTTAGATGCACCGGTCTCTCCAAACAATACCTGGTGAGGAGTAGTTGATTCAAATCTCCCTTCTGCCTGATGTGCTGCAGGGATTTAGAGTCACATCTCCCAAGTTTCAAGTGAGAGTATTCTAACCACCAGGCTATGAAATATTCTGGGGTTGCTCGCTCTCTCACTGTCTCCTGATGAAGCTGTTCTATTATGTACAAATATTATGGGCCAGACAGAGTGAGAATGCTCTATAGCCCTATGGCTAGGGCACTCTCCTGAGAGACTCAAGTTCAAGTTCCTGTTCCAATGACTATTTAGTTATTTATACAAAGTGAAACAGCTTCAACATGAGACACAGAGAGACCGACTCTAGAATACTCTATAGCCCAGTGGTTAAGATGCTCACGCTTCTCAGATTCTGGATAAAATCCCAGCTCCATCAAAGCCAAGGGCAAAACTCCATTGATTTCAATGAAGCCAGGATTTCACCCATTGTTTCAAACTGAAGACAATATAAAAGGCCAGGAGGACAGCAGGATAGCTATGAAGACTGGATAAATAGCTAGGAGACCGAGAAATTCAAGGGAGCCTAAAGAGTAGTAGAAAACCATCCTATGCAATAAGACTTTTATACAATATATCAATACTGATAAATCAAATAAGCAGCGTAAAGTTTAAACCCTATGTTACACAGAGAAGTTCTATATGGTATAAAATGCAGGTGTATTAGAGTCAGTATGATTAGAAAAGTTTGCCCAAGAGCAAAAAACATTGTCATTTTAGAGTGTATTCTATTAGTAGAATTTCCATTACAATAATATCCTGTGCTTTACAAAGCCAGTAAGTGTGTTCTAATGTATTTTAATAGATTTGCACAGAGGAAGTTAAATTTCTGTAAAGTAAAAAAAAAAAAAAAAAAAACCACCTAGGCTTTACTATATTAAGGCCCTTTATTATTGATAGTTACCAATTTTCCCCCCAAAATTCTCAAGTTTTTCAAAAAGTCATTGTTCAGGTTTTACTGATTCCCCCGCCCCTCTCCCCCATTTTTGGGACCTGGGGAATTTTTGAAGGAGAAACAGATCGGGCTGCACTGAAGGGACGGAGTCAGGAGGGGGCTGCATCTGGTGGGATGAGTACTCAAAAGATATAGCCTCCCCTTCTGACCCTAACCCCTCAGTGAGGCCCCGTTCACTTCCCCTGCATGGGGGCTGGTGGAATGAGATGGGCAAGGAATTGGGCCCCTGCAGCTGAGACAAGCCAACTACTGCAGGCAGTGGAAGGCTTCCTCAACTGCCACATACAGAGAACACCGTCACTGCCCGTTGTTTTCAGTTTTTAAACCAATTTGCTCACGCTTTTTAAATTTTTGAATAAAAACTGATAAATTCCTGGGAAATTTAAAACAAAATAAATATCAAAAAGAAAGGGGATTAGATGTTTTGCACTATTGGGCACAATACAAGCTACAATGATTGATACAGATATTCTTTTTCTGTTTATATTAGTCTGCCTTGGTAATTCTGAGAGCAGTTTGAAGCTGTGCAATTATATTAGGGCTGGTCTACACCCAGCCGCTAGTTCGGCGGCTGGGGATCGAAGTTCTGGGTTCGACTTATCGCGTCTGGTCTGGACGCGATAAGTCGAACCAGGAAGTGCTCGCCGTCGACTGCGGTACTCCAGCTCGGCGAGAGGAGTACCGCGGAGTCGACGGGGAGCCTGCCTGCCACGTGTGGACCGCGTCTGAACCGCGGTAAGTTCGAACTAAGGTATGTCGACTTCAGCTACGTTATTCACGTAGCTGAAGTTGCGTACCTTAGTTCGACTTGGGGGGTTAGTGTAGACCAGGCCCAAGTCAACAATTTGTAAGTACAGGTTACAAGAACAGACTCATGAGGTACATATACTAGTTTTCCTAAGGCCATTTTTAAATGAGCTAACAATGGAGTCTGAAAATCTAGACTAGTTTTCATGCACAGATACAGCAAGCCTCAGAAAGAACAGGAGTACTTGTGGCACCTTGGAGACTAAGGTGCCACAAGTACTCCTGTTCTTTTTGTGGATACAGACTAACACGGCTGCTACTCTGAAGCAAGCCTCAGCAATCTTGTGTCTTGTTTTTTCCCCAACTGATTTTCTAAACATGGATAATTTACAAAAAACGCAGACAAAAACAATTCTGGTCTTATTTCCATAATTATCAAAATAGAGTTCTTATTTTTCCCTGCCCGCTACATATTCTTTCTATTCTGTCCTCACTATTTTATATCCTGACTGAAGACCTCAGGAAATCTGGTTTTGGACATCCTGTACAATTCTATTCAGAATATGCCCAGAGCCTATTTGTCTGAGGTGGTAAGCAGCCTTTGATGCACAGACTGGAGAATTCTGCTACCTATTCTGGATCAAGTTACATTTGTGCCCACATTAAGGCCCCTTTAACACTGCCAGAGTGGTCTAAAGCAGTGCTTCTCAAAGCCAGTCCGCCGCTTGTTCAGGGAAAGCCCCTGGCAGTCCGGGCCGGTTTGTTTACCTGCCGCATCCACAGGTTCGGCCGATCGCGGCTCCCACTGGCCGCGGTTCGCCATCCCAGGCCAATGGGGGCTGCGGGAAGCAGCGCGGTCCGAGGGATGTGCTGGCCGCCCTTCCCGCAGTCCCTATTGCCCTGGAGCGGCGAACCGCGGCCAGTCAGAGCCGCGATCGGCCGAACCTGCGGATGCAGCAGGTAAACAAACCGGCCCGGACCGCCTGGGGCTTTTCCTGAACAAGCGGTGGCCCGACTTTGAGAAGCACTGGTCTAAAGGGACAACAGTATAGCTGTGAATCAGGGTCTCTTCCAAGACCTGGGTATCCCATTAACATCAACTTGCCAGTGAAGTTCTGCAAAACAACTCACTACTGGAACTATGGGTCAGGAAAAGGTCCGATGAGGTGGGAGGGTAGGGAAAATACATCTCAAACTAAATCCACAGCCTGCAGTGACTTTTTCAGTAAATATTTACTTTTCCCAGAAAATGTTATATTCTTACACATGCATCAAAAAGAAAAAGGGAACAATAGCATTCATTGCCTTCAGAGAACACTGATAAATAATGTTTCTAGCTCAGTAAGCAATATGTTATCTGAATCCACATAAAATAATAATGCTCTAAGACACTGGAACCAGTCACTGCAGACACAGCTGTGATAATAACAAATATTCAACCATCCTACACTCAAATCTACATTCCATAGCTCCAAAGGAAGCCAAAACTAAAGTAGGCACAACTGAGAAGACTATGCTTTGCTTGGGGAATGAGGAAAAATACTAACAGACAGCAGGAGCACAGTGGATGGCTTCTGTAGGCCTTCCTTTCTCCCTAGAGGCATCTTTCCCACAGTACAAACACTTACTCATGCTGAGAGACACCCATATCATTGTGTGTTCATTGCACCATGCTCACTCCAATCATTCCTCTCCCCCCCCACTATTTGCGTGGATTACAGTAGCACATGGTGGATCAAATCAGGGATGACTGCTCCAACAAGCCAAGTACCATTTAGACATTTAAGCAAAGAGACTCTTAAGCTCTTTTGGGGCAGGGACTGTCTATATTATGACAAAACACAGCAGGAAGAGTTGACAAACAGAAGGGGGGGACGACGATGAGGTAATGGTGGAACAAGCAGTAGTCAGACTCTGAATAACATACATGAGGGAGCATTGTTATCTCCCTCCTTCACTGCACACACACAATTTCCATCTAATGGGTCATTTCAACATATCAATATTTGTATTCATTCTGAATCTGAAGGAAGATTAGTATTTTAAAAAATTCCCATGAAACAGAATTTCCGAATAATTTTGATTTAGAAAAATGAACATTTTGGCATTTTGAAATTTTATTTTGTATATCGTTTTTACATTATTTCATGACATAATATGCACTACTCCTACTACTCCTGGGAGCATTCTGCGCCAAAACATTAAAAATTCTACACATTTTAAAATTCTGCAAATTTTATTTGTCTAAGTAACACTACATAATCACACCAGTTTCAATTATTTTGGTAATTTGTTTCAAAATACCTGTCAGCAAGTATGTCTGTACCAATACAGACACACAAAAATTCCCCCAGGAGTAGAGAGTTAAAGAAACCCCTATGACAACCAAGTTCCTGTTTCTCTGCCCCCTTCCCTCCCCCAGAGCCCAGCCAGGGGGCCAGATACCTGCACTCCCTTCCCCCCAGAACACATCTAAGGAGCCCCCCCTTGCCCAGACACCCGCCACCTCAGAGCCCAAGGCTCCAGAGGGAGAGAAAGCCTGATGCTCAGTCCCAGTCTTGTACAGAGTTTCCTGTGCGCCGCCCTCTCTTCCCCTCAGGGCATGCTGGGAACTGCAGTTGCCAGGACCCCTCTAGCTCTCTTCCCATCCCCCCAGCATTGTCTTCTATTTGCGAGCTGGGCTCTGCCGGGTCCAGCAGCCCCTAGTGGGGGCCAGTAGCACTGTAGCCCATTTCTGTGAGGGAAAGGAAATTCTGTGCGCACAACATTAATTTCTGCACAATTCTGCATTGCACAGTGGGCAGAATTCCCCCAGGAGTATCCTACTGACAACAGTTGAAATAATTATTTTAAAAATAAAACAGATTAAGGGCAGCTGGTACTGAGTACTGATTAAAACATCTTCTCTTTTCTAGATCAAAGTGTCTCCTGTTTGTGCTATAAATGAAACACTGACACTCCTTGTTCCATGTGTGGATGTGGTTTAACTAGGCTGCAACTTTATTAACTCATCTGGGAACTATCCAGCAATAACTCATGCAGTCCAGGTCACCCTTCCTTAATCATTTCCACCTGACCGGGGGCTGCCGTCAGTCCCCCAACCCTCCAAAGCTGGTCCAAGCCAGTTACTGAGACTCCATTGCCCTCCCCTCATATGAGAGTTTAGGGCCTGGGGAAAGGGGGTTGTCTCCAGATATTAGAAGCCTCAATCCCATTACCTGGCTTCTTTAGGGGATGCCTTCTCCTAAGTCCACTTTCAGTTTATCAGAGAACTGGACCCCCTATAGAATGAGTAACTGCTCAGGACACTTGCATCCAGGCTTGAGAGGGGACTCAGCACTGGAGAGACAGGATTTAGATCCCCTCCCACAGGTGCACAAGAGCCAGTTACCTGAGTCCCATGGGCCCACCCACCAGGTCAAGTGATGCCTTTCCATCCTCCAACTCTCAAGTGATGGGGAACTCTTAAAGGAGCCACTACACCCTTTTCCCCCTGCCAGTGCCAACAAAGTGCAGTCAGCTCCATCACCTCCTTCAGACAGACAGAGCTGAGACTGAAACAGTCCAGAAAGATCTGCAAGTGATGTGAGATGACAAACACTATGAATAGCTAAACAATCAAGGAAAAGAGCTAGGCAGGAGCAGGCAAACTGCTCAAGAAGGGGGAAAGCAAGTATGCTTCTTTCACAGCCAATTCCTCATCCACTACAGCAGAGACCTCACTCCATAGAGAGGGCCTTTTATTTCATTTGTGGTTTGTGAGCCGAGCTCACATAGTCTAACACGGTGCTGAGTGATGGGGTCTCCATGAGCTCGCCATGTCTGAAAATCAGACCACCTATTTTTTTGTTTATTTATAGTCTTTCAATTTAGAATAAAATGTTCCTGCAACACAGGCTCTAAAATTATTTAAAATTATAAGCCAAATAAGTAGGCCAGTCAGCTCACCCGTTTTACAAAGTAGAAACTCATAATCAAAAGGTATCAGCCCAGATTTTGGCCAGCACCTCTATTCCCCGCCTCTTTTCAAAAGCCAGATGAAGGACATGGGCCCTGCAGGATTCACCAAAAATCAACAAATCCAGATTATTTCAGATCAGGGGCTAAATGGCTTTCAAGAACCCACAGGCCCTTATGCCAAACATCCTGCCAGGGACCCTGTATCCACAGTAACCTTGCATCAGCACCTCTCCTGACTGCAGCTGTGGCATGGTAGCATGGGGAGAGTGATGCTCTCTCTGGTCAACTGGCCCAAGATATAGGAGCCAAGCATCAGGTGACCACGTTTGAAAAAATTCAGCTGAATCAGTCACCTCTCTCATTTGAAGCCACGGGATCAGGATTTTCATCAAATTCCACTCTCTTGAGGGCAAGCTTCTTTACCTCCTCTGAAGGTAGAAGGTAACGGGGAATGCTTGGGGGTTGGAGTGCGCCTACTACATCAACGGCTGGAAGGCAGTGCTTGTGATGTCAGATTCTGGTAGTGCTGGGGAACTCACCCACAGCAGGTAGAAGCAAGGCTGCCTCACACTAAGTGCATATGGTAGCGAGGTGTATCACAACTCTGGGTACCCCCAGGAAGCGTCACAACTCCTAAAACCCTCAGTACCAGATTGTAAACCTTCAGCTTCTTAGAAGGAGCCATTCAGGTACAACAGCTTTAATGTAGGCTACATCTACACTGCATTTTATTCATGTATCATTTTGCCACCCTCCACACGTCCCTATTTCCCCAACCGTCTGCTCTTATCACTGCAGCCCACTTACAGGGACTTATGCAATAGATGTAATCTAGGTTACCATACATTACACACCTCTTTAGGCAGCACATAGGGCGGGGGGGGGCAAACTTTTTGGCCCAAGGGCCACATCGGGTAATAGAAATTGTATGGCAGGCCATGAATGCTCACAAAATTGGGGTTGGGGTGTGGGAGGGGGTGCGGGCTCTAGGATGGGGATGAGAGGTTTGGGGTGCAGGAGGGTGCTCTGGGCTGGGACCGAGGGGTTCGGAGAATGGGAGGGGGATCAGGGCTGAGGCAGGGGGTTGGGGTGCAGGTTCCGAGCGGTGCTTACCTCAAGCGTGGTGCAGCCCCAACCCAGCGCCCCAGCTGGAGCGCCGGAGTGGGGCTGAGCTGCATAGTGCGGCTTGCAGGCTGACTTAAAATGGCTTGCAGGCCAGATCCGGCCCACGGGCCATAGTTTTCCCACCCCTGACATAGGGTATATGTAGCTACATGCCACAGTAAAGAGCAGGCTGCATCCAATCTGCAGTGTGAAACTACATGTGTCAATGAAAGGCTCTGGCAGGGGGAGCTGCCTGAGCCTTTTGAAGCTGCCTCCCTCCTGCCAGTCTTTCACTGCAGTGGTGAAAGGCTCTGGCAGCTCTGTGCATTAGGGAAAGGATGCTATACTGCTAAAAATAGCAGGGTAGACGGGGGAGGCACTGCTTGGGCAAGTACAGAGCCCTGCAGTGTAGATACTCACAAGGTTCAGGAATGCCTAAGCCATGCCTCACTGTCTACACTGCTATTTATACCCATGCTGAGGGGCACGTAACGTGTGTACTCTACATGCTGCCAAAAGGAGTGTGCAGTGTAGATGTACCTCTAAAGGAATGTCATCAAGATTCAGAGGCCTAAAATGTAGCCTATCACCTTTCTTTTAGGCTGAAAGCGTGCACGTATGCCCATTATGCTGTCCTTCCTCTCTACTTGCGTACTGATTTTGCTAAGCAGGTGGAGGTATTAAAATATTCTATACAGAAGTGCTCTCTCAAATGAGTTCTGAAAACAAAGATTCTTGAATATTTTGGTGCCATCAACTTGGTCACAAGAACAAAATAGGCAGGCAGAGTAGAAGGGTGGTATAATATCTACACTGACAAAACACATCCTGGGACCACATAGAAACAAGCTCCCTGGATTTGTTGTCTGGTCTGCAAAAGATGACTGATGTTAGAAATTATGCTGCTCCAGCTTCTGAATAGGCAGACTTTTTAGTATCAGCTGGAAAGTATTGAAAAAAAAAATCTCCTTTTTTTATAGTAGGTAAAATTCTGGGCAGTTTAGCCTTGACAGTGTCCCCTTTACAAACAACTTAATAGAAGGGACCATCACTGTAATGGGAAAAACATTTGATCAGCACATCACATTACTGTCGCCCTCTGATCAGACTTACTCTTGGTGTGGTGCTCCAGTCTTCGTCAGCAAGGTCAGCACAAAGAACATGAAAATGACAAAAACTGCCAGACCGACCCAAAATCCAATCACAATGGAATCTGCAGGAGAGAGGTAATAAACTGATTAGTATTCCACCTTCGCTTGTAAACAGGTTCCATTCCACATAATGTGTCATGACTCAGAGTTCAGAAAGGCTTTGTTTCTTATTACAAGACACATTCAACATCCTGACCAGCCAACGTACCAGGCACTGTGTCTCTGGAAAAAGCCAATGGATATAAAAGTGACTAATTCAGCATCAGCTACATCAAGCATGCACAGCACTGAATGCAGAAACAATTCTTTTTTTAATTTCCACTTTTATAGCAATAAAACCTCAGGACAGGCCAATGTTTGGCATCCTAGGTTCTTGAACTCCTCCCAGCCACTCAGTCTCCAGCAAGTGCCCTGTACTGCTATCATTAGTGATTAATTACAGCCAATGTATGTGTTACTGTGGCTGTACTCAATAGTTACATTTGATTGGAATAACTGGAAACGCTATTTGGTCAAAAACAAGTAGTGGATAGAGCAATAAATGAATTAAATGCACAGCATTATGGTAATCGGAGCTGGTAGCAACCCCTATATTTAACTTACCTAACACTTTCCATTATAAAAGTTTCTTACAACTATTTCTTTAAGAAGCTCTCACACTAGGGTGACCAGACAGCAAGTGTGAAAAATTGGGACCGGGGTGGGGGAGAGAAATAGGAGCCTATATAAGAAAAAGACCCAAAAATCGGGACATCTGGTCATCCTCTCTCAGACTTCCATAGTTTTCAGCAGGCCTTTGATATCTGACAGGGGGAATGCCTTCAAACTACAGAAGCACCTGTTTTTGTCTCAAAGTCCATTCAATTTTTGCGAAGAAATCATCATTTCCCCTTCTCTCTGATATGCCTTAGGAAATTTTTGGCAACCTGCCAGAATAATTACTAAAAGACAACACTCTAAGTCGGGCTTGCAGCACTGCCAAAGCAGCAGCAGCACATGCTGTACTGAGCACACCAAAGAGCTACTGGAGTGAGGGGAAGACAGCTAGGCCAGGATCCCGCCAGCCCCCAGACTGAGCACATGGCCCCAGTTGTCCACACCTCCTCTGGGGGTAACCCATTGGGCAGGTGCTCCCCCAGCTCACATGGGGGGTGGGGGGAGAGAACATGTGCACACCGGGCCAGGCTCCCCACAACCATCCCAAGACCCAACACATGGTCGTAGTGACCCCCACCCCAACATAATAGCCCTCTCTTGTTGCCAACCTTAATTCACTCCTTGTGCATATATATGCATGATGAGAAAGTCTTTAACTACATGACCACATTTTTTTCCACAGGACCCGACTCATTCAGTGCACAGGCTGGATGCACAAAGAGGCAGAATTAAGGCTGCACAGGCAATTGTAAAATTTGGCTTTTCCTAACATTAAAGTGCTTTAAAAAATTGCAAATTAAACAACAACATTTTAACATAGTTTAATTGTATTTACCGTATATACTCATTCATAAGCCAAATATTTTTGGTAAAAAAGTGACGCATCAAAGAGCAGGGATCGGCTTATAAACGGGTCTACACCAAAATTTGATGATTTTAAACTCTGTGGAATCATTGAATTGAATATCTAATACATTGTTGTTTTGTTTACCTGGAGCATCTGCAGGCATGGAGCCCCTCAGCTCCC